CATTCCAGCACTTTCAGGACCTTGGACAGTTCCTTCAACGCTTCACACTGTTTTTGTCCTCATTCAATGTTCACAAATTTTGATCTATAGAGGATGCGGAGACTTTTTGCCCAGAAGGAAGGGGTTTAAAGCAATKATTAAGGGGAAAGGTTTTATTAATTCTAATTTTGTTTGCTAAAGATAAAACACTTTCAGTAAAATCACAATAAAACAGATGAGGAATCTTGCTTTGAGTATTAAAAGTCAACAACTTCTTTAAAAAGTACACACATTGTTGGGTCTTTGTACTAATGAGATCAGTCCATAAATCCCACTTCAATTTGTGATCAAGCACTACGCCAATATTTAAAACTTGTCACAGACTCTATAAGTTCAGTGTCAGTGTAAATTGTTCAGGAATATTGGCTTTTCTTAAATGATGACCTCAAAAAGGATCTGCTGAGCACAGATTCCCACATTATGTTGTAGAATSTTTGTTATATGATTTGGTGTATTTAGTTGCGTGTTTTTTTCTTACATTTGTACGTTTAGAACCTGTGAAAACGGCTTAAAACCTTAAAAGRGGAGTTTCAAGAGTGAAATCATCTCCTCCCAATCTGTTCGGATGTAGATAAAGAGACACTGATACCATCTGTGTTCATTTCTACATGAATATTTCATGCCCTGTATCGAACATTTGCATGAAGGTTCAGATTTCCCTAAAACCCTGAGGCCTGTTCTGATACTTCGGTGGTTTCAKTGAGCAAAGTATCATGTAAAGTTAAAAACAGAAACCCGTGGACTCTGCCAGCTAATGCAGGGTTGGCAGCAAAAGGCAGAGGATGGCAGTGGATAGCTAGAGRTGGACGAGTAGATGGAGAACATCTAAAGCGTGGTATTGATTTTTTGCTCTCCAGTGGAGTCTGACAGGATGCACGCTGCTGYCCTCATATGCTCTTTCAGTCCTGGACCCAACGCTTCATTTTTTTTTTTTATTTATTCGTTTCTGCCCGTCACTTATCTCAGCAGCTAATGGCTGCCGGCAGAAGCAGGGATGGTGTGTTGGTGTTCTTTCATCTATACATGCCCCATATGCTTACTTTGCACCTAAAGCGAGCAAGATGGATCAGCTCAACGCCCCCGAAATGTAAATGTGCTCAGATAATATTACACACATTAAGTGACRTAAATTGACCAAAGTTTTTCCATTAGGAAGCATTTTGTACCGCATTGCAGGAATGAGAGAAAGAGCTTTTTTTTAATGATAAAAAGACCCAACAGGATGTGTGGTTTCTGTTACTTTTATTTCATGACTCATCAAACTTACACCAGCTGAATGATATGTTTAGGTCATGTGTTTAGAAAARGAGCTTTACCAGTGACTTGTTTACCCTTTTTTATCATTTACAGCTCAGATCGGCTCATCGACCACGCCATAAGGTACGTTTTATGTCTCAGTCCACGAGGAGTCCCAGCTCTTTCTGTTTGATTGAAATGAATGTTGTATGTTAGCTCATCAGCTGAAGCTGTAAAAGTGGTGTAACTTGACTCCACAAAGGCAGCTCTTTSTTCCTGCTGCTAATGCTTGATCTCCTTCCAGCATCGCCATGAGTACCAAAGAGAACATCACATTTCAGCGTGGGATGCTGAAGTCCATTCAAACCAGGGTCACAACTCTGGCCAGTATCCTTTTTTTTTTGAAACACTAAAAATAAATTTTCTTTATTTCTAAGGAGCTGTTTAAATAGCAGATTTGCACCAGATTATCGTTAGCTTCCATTTATTGTTTTCTCGACCGTGTTGGAATGGATTTTCCTCTTCTGCTGTTTTTGTTTTCTACGAAGGCCTCAGACCTTAATTATTTTTCCTTCACCACAACCCCCCACCCCCTCAGATCGTTTCCCTGCTATCAACAACCTCATCCAGAAAATCAATCTGCGCAAGAGGCGGGACTCCTTAATTCTAGGTGTGGTGATTGGCGTCTGCACTGTTCTCCTGTTGCTCTACACATTCCACTGACCGGACCAGTTTACAYTGTTTCACCTCTCCTCTAGTTGTAAATAACTCTTCCTAAAACTGGTTTATTTCTAGGTTGCTGCTCAGTTCTTGTATTTTTACCAAAAAGACAACACTATATTTTCTGGTTTTTTGTTTTTGTTTTTCTTTTGTTTTTCTCCTAATTAAAGGSGACAAGCTCACTTTCGTGTCGGGTCATGCTCATTCAAGTTTATTTCAGACATGCAGAACTATGGCACAGTAAAACCAGTCAWACAGTATAAAGGTACAAACATAAACATCAAGAAAGATCGGTGCATACAAGGAAGAGAAACTGTCCGCTTCGTCACTGTAAACAGAGCAAGGTTTTAGGGTCCAAACAGGGAGTCAGGATGGTTAGCGTGCAAAGCAAGACACCACACTACGACAGCAGAAAGGCATACGTGATTTAAGCTTCCTGTAAATGCTGCGAAAACAGCATCACGAGTCCCGAGTCAAAGAGAGAAATGTCAGTAATTGTTGCAGGTTKTTTGGAAAATAGAGCAAGCTCTTTTTGGTCGATTGTTTTTACACACCCCATAAATYTGATCATTTTTTTAAAATGGTGACTTTTCAAAGCTTTCAAATTTTTTTAGTGAGTGTGAAAGRAAGGAGGGATGTAATCGGTGCTCCACTACTTTAGTCGACAGGTTCATTTTCTCCACAGATTTACAGTCCAACATAAAAATAAAAAYTAAATCAATGCACAGCCTTTAATTGTCCCTTGACTCCTGAGTTTGTCCRTAAGACGGGGACAGTAAGATGGATTCTTTTCGGGTTTCATCTCAGATTTTGTGCTTTTGCAKTTCCTCCTTCAGTGCAAATCCAAGATCCCTTAAAGGCGCCTCCATCCCACGTCTCATGTCCGATGATCTGAAGGGACAGAGCAGAGACATCAACACCCACACTATGTCCTCAACCTGTGCTTTKTGTTTTCTGTTCCATGTTTGTCTTCCATACCTAATGTGTACGCTATGAAGATGATCACAGGCACACCCAGCAGTATTGCCAGCACGCTGAACAGCATGGACAGACGCCCATACTTCTTGGCTCCTTCAGTGTCTCCTGTGTGGAGGACTGACCTGGACTAAAGTGGAGGGAGAGGAGGCATGAATTATTTAAAAGCACCGCAGGAGCAAAACCACCTGTGGTGTTTTAAAAAAAAAGATGGTTACAGCAGTGTTCCATGCGTAAAGACGCAATAAAGTCATTATTTGGTAACTCACCACGTGCGCGTACCACAGGGCGCATATGTTGAGGGGCACCGTGGGGCAGAAGCAGGACAGCACCGCCAGCCAGAGGTAGAGAGAGGGCGCGGACCCGGGTGGCACCGGGGAGGCCAGCTGGCCCAGGCTGATCCGAGAGGCCGATCTGGGTGGGGCGGACAGCTGCCCGACGGAGCCCGAYTTCATCGGGGACCTGTGGCCGTCCTGCTCCGCGTCCAGGGACCGGACGCTCCCTCTGACGTTCAGGGAGAAGGAGTCGGACGGTTTGAGGTTGGTCTCCCCGGTGGGCTCGGCGGTGGGGGCGCTCAGCAGCTTCTCCGTGTCCTGGAAGTCGGTCGGGTTGGAGACTTCCCTCTCGCCGAGGGCGCTCTTCCCAAAGGCGGCATCGGTGTTGATGGCCATCGCTGGAGGATGGGAGTGATCTCCAGGTCGTTCTGCTGTCCTGCTGATGGAGATGCTGCAGAGTCTTCCCTCAGATGTCTTCCTTTGGGGGTCATCAGATCAAACAATCTGCATTCAGAACCCAGCCGAGGCAGCCTTTTTAATTAAGCAGACTAACTCCATGCAGGTTTCTTATTGATGACCGGGATGTTATTGATGACTGAGGCGCTCTCGCCTGTAGTTGCCGGTGACGCACGCCTTGCTTTTTCACCCCTCCACCCCCTTCTGTAGATCATAGTGAGGGATTACCGCATCCTTCACATCCCCAGCACCAGAGCCCCATTAAGCACCAGGCGAGGGGGGCAGGCTAAGAAAAAAAAATTAAAGCTGTTTTGGAGCGAACACCCGCGGTGGGTAAAAGCTTTCCATTTACGCGCGGCGGCAGCAGCTGGATCAGCATAAAGGACACGGCGAGGAGTGTTTAATGGAGAAAAGGGAACACAAAATCTTTCAAACATATTTACCACCTGCTGACTTAGAAACTCATAAAGTTTGGCCCCTGCAGCATTTACGTGGAGCCCCTTTGTCTCCCCAGGAGCGTTAATATTTGGTTTGCACAAACTGCCACTATCTTTGTGAGGTTATGAACAGTTAATATCTTACCTGTTGTAGCTTTTGCAATGTTCTCAGTTTAAACCAGAKGTGCYCAAAGTGGGGCGGCCCGCCAAGCCATTTGATTTGGCCCACCAGCAGTTGTCCTGGTTACTAGACTGTAATTATGTTAAGATTAAATATAAAATACAAGTAACTACAAGAGACTTTTAGGTTATATTTAAGCCCATATATTTGCACACCATATAAGACCACATATACTCAAATTTTAAATTATGAAAAGTCCCATGAGCATATGTTGAATTTTCTCCATGTCCATGGGCTAAAAAACACTAAATAATGTGGGCAACCACACTGGCTGCTAGCTTAATCATAAAAAACAACTTTGCTAAAGTATTTGCATTTCTTATAGTATTTGTATTTGGCCCACAGCCCTCAGATTAATTTTAATTTTGGCCCTCTCAGAGGAAATGTTTGGGCACCCCTGGTTTAAACACTGTTGTAAATAAGAATTTGCAAAACTTTTCCATGCCATGTCCCCCAAACAGCATCAGCTTCTGTCTGGGGACCCCTCTTGCAAGACCAATGATAAATAAAAATATCAATTTTTAAAATGTTTTTTTTTCCTCACTTTTATTCACTATTCAATAATTATTACTGGTAAATGTCTTTAGCATAAGAATTTTATTACCTAACATGTTTTAAACTCTTCAACAAACTGTTGACAAAAAGAACAGAACAAAAGAAATCAAACCTCTCTAACATTTCAATATATTATTATGATAGATATTTTTAAATGATTGAAAAACATTTCGTTTTGATGTTTTAAAACATTTATTAGATGTAAATATTTTAATTTAGGTTTTTTATGTAACTTCCCTCCACCTTTATGCCAATGTGACATTTATTGGAGGTGTTGATGATGATGATTTGGCATCCTTCCTGAAACATTACAGCACTTTCAGGACCTTGGACAGTTCCTTTAATCCGTCACACTCGCAATGGTTCCCAAAGTTGAGGTCGGGACCCACAGTGGGGTCCTGAAACATTTTTTTTTTGAATTAATTACATGAGAACTAACATTTTTTGCCTTTGTTGTTACAAAATACTAAGATTAGTGTACTTAAAATTAGGGGTGTAAGAAAATATCGATACACTGAAATATCGCGATATTTCATTTCCTGATACTGTATAGATATTCTAAAGTCCTGTATCGATTTTTAATTGAGGTTTAAAATGTCAACCTTCTTGCCAACCGTTCATTTTTATGTTGTAGTTCAGCCTCTGGCCACTAGTTGGCAGCAGTGAGCCAGCCATTTGGCTCCTCTACCTCTTGAGCGCCAGAGAGTAAGAGAGCATTAGTATTGTAAGTAAACATTAGCTTTTCTTCTTTTTTTCAGTAAGAGGTTTTTATTTAATAGAATCTTTGGACAAAAAAATCGCAATATATCGCCTTGTTTACAGTTGAAATATATCGGGATATATTGTATCGTGATCCCTCTGTTATGATATGTATCGTATCGCCAAATTCTTGCCAATACGCAGCCCTACTTAAAATGGACAAAAATAACATAATAATGTTATACGCTCTTGTTTATTTGAAGTGAAAACAATGTTTATCAACGGATAACAGCTGGGGGCACAGGTCTATGCTGCTGGTAATTTTTGGGTCAAAAGCTGAAAGGTTTGGGAACCACTGGTCTAAAGCAGTGGTTCCCAACCAGGTGTACACCATCATATTACAAGGGGAGAACGGGGTTGGTTGTCACAGTTGCTAAATCTTTTCTTCTAGAAAGCGCTGTTACAAAATTTTTGCGTGAGTTTCCAAAATAGTTGTCACTGCCTACCTATGTTTTTATTTTAGCAGTGATCTTTCAATGAGATGAGAGGACTCATTGTGCTTTCACATCATGATGTAACTTTTGATTATTTTTGTGATCCTTTTGAATTGCCTTTAAACAAATGATTTAGAATCAAACACTTACTGGCATTTGAAAGCAAAAAGGCAGAGCTATAGTTAGAATTTTTTTTTCTTTGCTAGACTATAACATGTGCTAGACTATAACATGTGCACAACTGCTAGCAAAAAAATCCTGATGGGGTTGGTTGTCACATGACCAGCTATGACCAGACACCACCTGAAGTGATGCTCAGGGCAGTCTGCGCCGTGAAACTGCTGCACAAATCTGAAGTACAGCAAAGGACTTTAATATCAATTATCAAACACTGGCAAGATACTACAAACAAGATGTCCATCAGAGGTTTCTGGGGATGAAATTGGCCCATTGGTGCCTGTGAGATACACCAGGACAGCCTCTTTACATCTGCAGAACTGTGATGCAGACAATGACTGAATAAAAATGGATAGGCCCTTCTGTTTTTTATTCAAATTCTTGACAAGTCCTACCAGTTTATGGCAAACAAGATGTTGTTACCTATATTAAAATGTTTTTTTATCAACTAAGACATTAAATTAAACATTGTAAATTAGAAAAAATCTATTAAAATTAATATTTATTTTTAAAAGCCTTTTTCTAAAAGTGTTTCTCATTGAAATATAACTGGGACGACCAAACCCACGATGGGGTTGGTTGTCACAAATGCACAAGTCATGTTTAGTAGAGCATATCTTTTTAAATATATCTTCCTGAGAAAAATACGTTTCTTCTATTTCAAAAAGACACTTTAGGGTTCCATTACACATTGAAATTAGATTGACTGAGCATAGCATTTTTTTTATTTAGATGAAAGTAAAAAGTGTGACAACCAACCCCGTTCTCCCCTACATGGAAAAAATTCCCAGGTGTGTAAAAAAATAATAAAAATACATGTCCTTATGATTTCTGCAATGCAGAAATTGCAGAAGGAATCACAGAATTAACACAAAGTGGAATCTCATATAAAGCATTGAATCTCACAGGGTTTGCTCATTTGGGTGAGTTTCTGACATATTTTGGACGCTGCTGTTTCCTGCACCTACCACCACCTGGTTTATTTATTTAATTACTTATTCACTTTCAAGGCAACATTTTTATCTTTGTTTAATTTGAGTTGGAAAAAAATACAATGCCAGAGACTTAAACGTTATAGGGGGTTAATACCACTGTTCTAGAAGGCAACATGTGATCAAAGTTTTTCTCAATGTGGGCAAAACATTATGTGAAAATTTGAACGTTGAATAATTTTAGATGCAGTCTTCCTGTTTCTGCAATATATCTTGGACAGTATACAACATTTGTGTCATACAAATGTTATGAATGGTACAAACTAAAAGGGTGTCAGAATAGTTCTTATTCAAATCCAGGAAGTGCCATGTCTGGATAATAAATTTATTATTATTATTTTTACACTGACTAGCCAGAATGAAATTGGAGTAATGGCTTTCTGTGTCTTACATGTAAGGAGTAGAAAGTGATAACTGTGTGACAATATAAAGAGTGGAAGTAAAA